TGGGCGTCCAAAGCCAATCAGCGCACCAGCGGGGCGGGGCGTCCCCTCCAAAAGGCCAATCGGAGCTTCCGGAGCCTGAACTTTTGCTACCCTGAGCAAGTTAATCAATCCCGGGGGCGTGGCCCAGCCTCTCGGACTCCGGAAAAAAAAAAGACGCGCCTTAACTCTTGGCGCGCCGGAAGAACTTTTTACTTGCAAGATTTATACCCCGCTTTCCCCACGAAAGCTCAAGGCGGCTTCCATGGGGCCATAGAGAGACGCGGTTAAAAGGCTTCCTGTTTGAATTCTGCAGGAGGGGAGGGGGGGGGGGGGAGATCAAACATACCCCAGCCTCACACATTCATGGCTGCTGAGTGAACAATAATATTGCAATAAACTGGGGGAAGTTTCCCTTTTTTCAAACGAACAATCTCCTTTACATTCAGCCCACCTCCTGTGGCTTCACTTCCCCCACCTGTAGTTTTCTATGCAACAAACAGAGGTGGTTTGCTATAGTTTTCTTTATTCCAGTGTTTCTCAACCTTGGCCACTTTAAGACTTCGACTCCCAGAATTCCCCAGCCAGCCTGGGGACTGCTGTATTTCTTTGACTTCCCATCCTAGCCTACTAACCTCAGGTTTCCTCCAGGTCTCCCATCCAGGAACTATACCAGTGTTGTCCAAACTTGGCCACTTTGAGTGGACTTCAACTCCCAGAATTCCCCAGCCAGCCATGCTGGCTGGGGAATTCTGGGAGTTGAAGTCCACTCATCTTAAAGTGGCCAAGTTTGGACAACACTGAACTATACTAACCATTTGCATCTCTTTAACACAGCTATTAAATATGATCAAGGAGGGAGCACCTGAAGAACACCCAGATCACGCTTTGCAGCACCTTCCCACCCACTAAAATCTGAGTTTTGCCAGCATTAACTGCAGGAGAGCCACGTACTCTGAACGGTGGAGGTTCACCTTGCAGTGTCTTGCCAAAACCTCTTTGAACCCCGAGGGCTGTACCCTTACAGATACATATAAGAAATATTGGGGGGAAGCAGGGAGAAAAACAAACATTTTGCTCTCGGATTTACCATCCCATTAAGCTGTGGTTTGCTTGGTTTCAGCGTTATACAATCCGTGCATGTGTGAATCCTGCCTGTTGCGACGGACTCAGCAGTTCACGGTTGGACAAACCACGGCTTAGTACAACTTGCGGATCTTACTGATAGCCGGCTTCGCGCTCTGCACTGAACATTTGGTTTTGGTTTACCATGCTGCGTGAGCCTAACCAGTTGTGGTTGCTCACAAAATCGTGGTCAAGCAGACCTGGTCAGTGAATCAGGATTTGTCAGAACTTGTATTACAGTATGGTATTTTCTCAATGTTCAAGAGAACGTAGCTTCAGTACGGTGGCTCGATACTTCTGCTGGGTAATTTAGGGGCCAAATAAGGTTGGGCTCGAGTTGACATCCATACAATGAGAGTTTTCAACACCCCCCCCCCCGAACACACTATTCCACAAAGAGAACAACTCTCAAACCACGTAAGACCCAAAATTTGCACGTTGGGTTATTTTAAAACCTGTGTCTCTACGTTCCCGTCTGTGGGAAACCGGACGGCATTTCCAGCCCCTGCTTTTCAAGGTCAGGCGCTTCCAGGCCTTTGCTTCCTTATTAAGACAGGCCTGGTGTCACCACCTTTGTTGACAGTGCAGAGTTTGTAATGAGATGTTGTGGAGGCTATAAGAAAATAGCAAGCTTGGATTTCTGAGCTGAAACAAAGAGAGAAGTGTCTGCAGATTATAGGCTGTGCCTGCTTTGGGGGTGGGGGTGAAGAATTGGGGCAGAAGGATCAGAATTTCCACGGAGGGGATCTCGGGATCTTCTGCAGAACAGGAGATCCTTCCAGTTTGGTGAACCTGAGACTGGAGATACTCCTTTAAAACCAACCAGTTGTATTTGGGACTCAAGGCCATAACCTTAACGTCCCCGTGCCACCAAATAGTTGATGGTTCTGTCTTCCTGGAACACGACCTGTGAGTCCTCGATCCCAGGAAACATTCAAGACAGGGATGCTTGGCCCTCCTTGTTTGTTACAGGTATATTCCACGTTATGCCCAGGAGCTGACCAACTTCTTTGATTTCAGGGCCACAGCATCAGCCCTGTGAGGTCGTTGAGCTGAAGAAAGCACTTTCCCTCAGGGAACTTCCATGCTGATGAGGGACTCCAACACTTTCACCCCTACACGCCACTGATGGCTTAGATTACTACTACTTGAGATGCTTATCTATCGGCTGGATTCACACCATGTCATTATTTCTTTAACCATGGTTTGTTGAGTATTCCACTGTGGTTGGGACCACAGTTCACACGTCGTAACTATGAAGTAACTATGAAGTATAACTATTGTTATAGAACAATAGTTGTTTAAAATGATAGAATGCTGGCTGGGGAATTCTGGGAGTTGAAGTGCACCCATCTTAAAGTTGCCAAGTTTGAAAAACACGGATTTACGACATTGCAAATTCTTGTATGCACAATGAAACACAAATGAACACATATTCCTTGAAGGTGGAATGTTAAGCAGCAGTTAATTGCGTTTAGGAACAACGTGTATGTTGCAGGCTCTGTTGTATATCATGCAATCCATATGAATGTTCCCAAAGAGCAATTTTTCTCCAAGTCTCCCCTTACTCCAGTGCCATTCCTTATTTCCCCCTACTGTACCGTAGCTCTGTTCAAACAAAAGAAAAACTCTAATTCCCGCTGCTCACACGTTTAACCTTGTTGCTCAGGTCTCCATCCTAAGGGGTTGCGCAAAACAGCAAACTGACTGAATGGGCTGGATTCGTGCTATACACTAAGCCACAAACAAACCTAACCAGCATTAAAACTAACCAAAATCAGTATTATACATGAATGCAGTGGTTAGGCTTGCAATAAAGCCGGTTGACACGTGTTGTGTGAAAACAGCCCTTCTGTCCCTGGAAAATGTGGTTCGGTGGATTGAGGCCTGAGTTTCTGTTTTGTTGCTGCACTTCACAAGTTGCTGATTTTTTACTCTGGTTCCACCTGCATAAAATGGGAATCAAAATGCCCTCTGTCACAAGATGGTTGTGAACTGGAATAGCTGTGGCTAGTGGGGTGTGTGTGTGTCTGTGTCTGTGAATGAGCCTCATCCTTCTGCAAACAAATTGCAGGTGGTGTGTGTGTGTGTGTGTGTGTGTGTGAGAGAGACAGACAGACAGACCTCCTGGGATCTGCAACATAGCAGTACATTTTGGGGCAACCTCGAGGGCTGCTATTCCCACAGGATGTGTCACCTGATCCACCCCATTTGCTCCAGAGTAATTCCCTGTGAGATTACAATTCTGAGGGGAAAAGGGGGGTTCTTTCGGGGACGCATTGCCCCCGCGTCTCAGGGTAAAAAGTAGAAATAAAGTTCAATCCCATGTTGAGTCGGATCCCCAATAATGCCATCATCACCCACCTATTTTCTCTGCAACAAGCTGGAAGTGTTTTGCCCTTGCCCCGTCTAGGGAGTTTTTTCAACTCTCCGCCCCCCCCCCCCAG